AATATTATTAATTAATTTTATTTTTTACATTTTTTATCTTTATTTTAATTGATCTAAGTATAGAATTTTAATTTATTAACCTGGGTAAAAAAATTTCCAGTTGAGAGAGTTGATAGAGTTGCAGCATTTTTAGAGAAATATTAATATTCCCTAATGTGATTTCTTTTTTCATTTGTGATTTCATATATTTATTGGATAAAATGTAATAGTGTTTCGAAATCACAAATCCTTTTTTAAGTGAGAAGGTATTTTCAAAACTGCCATGTCCTCTTATGGGTTATTCTATAAGTTTTCTCTGCTTTATAAATTTATTTTATTATTATTATTATTATTTAATTCAGATTGTTGGCGACATACTTCATGTATTAAAGTCTTCTGTCACAGTTTACTCAGCAAGAATGAAGACATTGATACACTTTTGCATTATGGAATACACAAGTTGGCAGTTCCTCGCCCACTGCCACCCAAATACAGGTAAGTATGCATGCATACACAACCTTCAAAATTAGTAAAGCTAAAGTAAGTAATAAATTTTCGACCTTAAACTGTTTTAGGTTGGCATCAGATTACAATCGGCAAACATAAAGCCATTTTTACAAAGGTTTACTTTAAAAGATAAAAACGAGGTCAGCATAAAATTGCCATCTTCAGGCATTTTATGCTGACCTTCAGGGTTAGAGTCAGGTACAATAATGTATTGAAATCAATTAATAATTAAATAAGGAATGTGTTTTTAGATACTAAAGTTAAACACTTAATAAAGTACTTGCTGCAATTACTTTTAAAAGACTAAAACTGGACATATTGTTTTAGAAAAAGCTGTAAGTTTGTATGATTTTTTGAAATCATTTAAATATATATATATATATATATATATATATATATATATATATATATATATATATATATATATATATATATATATCAATATCAGAGCCGTAAACACCGGGGGGGGGGGGGAGGCAAGTATTAGTACAACTATTAGGGAAAAACTTATATACTTTACAAATATTTTATCCCCTCTCTTCTTTAAAAGAACTATAGGCTATGGTTCTTGGGCATGCTATGTTTGGGCCTCTCCCTATCCCCTAAAATAGCTACCTTAAAAAAAAAAAGGACCTCAATATGTAATACGGGCCCCCCTAATATTAAAATTGTGGTTACGGCTCTGATACATATATATATATATATATATATATATATATATATATATATATATATATATATATATATATATATAT